AATTGGATAAATTAGCCAGCCGCCCAAGCGTGTTTGATATGCGCCCAAGCGTGAACAATTCACAGGGAATGGAGGAAACAATTTGAAGCACGGAACTTATTTTTACCGCCATTTTTGCCCTCTTCAACCAAAAAAGCCGTGTATCATGCGCACCTCTTACTTGTTTCGCACCTTAATCTGGAAGGTTTGTGGGCATGATTGATATTCATATTTGGGGGGTGAGTTGGATGACTGTCTGCCAGCAGGCCATGCAAAAGGCACTGATTTTTTGTTTTTGTTTTGGAGGGAGCAGGAAGAAGCCGGTAAGTCTACTGTGGACCAAGTAATTGCTTACCTCACCTGCTTTCAACACATCATTGGTAACCAGAGTTAGCCATTTTCTGTTTTGATCCATCGAGCTTCGCCATAAGACAAGTTATGATGCCACAAGGCATGCAATGGGCTTATTTTGTTCCATATTCTTGGTTATTTTCCCCAAATTTCTTGAAGTCCCTCACGGCTGCTTTAACCAGATGTTTTCTATAGTTGTCATGGTTTGCTGACCGGCAAATGACTGTACTGTATATATGCACTACATTTTTAAGGATATGTTTTTATGACATATGATATAAAAATATGCTCTATATTTTCAAGGACTGGGATACTCTAAGCTGCATAGCAATTATAATATGAGTTAAATATTGGTATGTAACAAAAAGTCAGACCACCCCATTTAAAATGAGAAGCCAACATCTCAAACTTTGTCACTAAATATGAATAAACAAGTCCAAGTGGATGTATTTTCTGCAGCTGAAAAGGCAAGCGGCAATACTGGCATGATCATCTAAAAGTTATGTTATTTTTGGAGAAGAGATTGTTTTGTGGAGCATACCCATTACTGCCCCTGATCAGGGCATGGGCTAATCATGACAATCAAAATAAGTTGTTCAAAACGATTTAAAGTGTTTTGATTTGCTTGTTGTCAACTTTGTCTGATCTCAATAAGCATGCACAAATGAAATGAATACAAATGCAAGTTGGAACCAGCCAAAAACTCGCCTTAAATATCATGTTTTTACCACAAGTGCTGCTGTCAACAGATAGGTGAGTTGAGATGATGATTCAACTTATGGTCTACTCTAGGTTAGGTTAAGTTGGTCAAGTGCATGGCAAGTGGCAATAGGAATTGTGCAAGAATCAGTAACACAACTGCTGCTGTGATACAAACAGGTTATACAGGATGAGATGATGCAGGGCCTCTTTAGGTTAGGCAGAGGCTACTTTCATAGAAATAAGCATTGGTATTTTGTAAGAAACAGTGACAAAATGTTTGTTTTCCCCGACCCCACCTTAACAGAAGCCAGAAGTATGTGTATTGTGTTTGACTTGGCGATGGGCTGATGTGTAGGAGTCCAATATTTTTTTTGTTTGAGCGTTTTATGCTTGTTGAATTTTCTGTTG